AAACAGAGCAAGAAAAACAGAGCAACCAAACAAAGCAAGAAGCCAAAGAAACAGAGCAAGAAAAACAGAGCGAAACCTAAAACCTACGTTCTTCGAGGAACCCAAGAACCCAGAACTGGGTTCCTCACGAAACCCAGAACTGGGTTCCTCACGAAACCCAGATCTGGGTTCCTCACGAAACCCAGATCTGGGTTCCTCACGAAACCCAGATCTGGGTTCCTCACGAAACCCAGATCTAGGTTCCTCACGAAACCCAGGAACCCAAAACTAAGTTCCTCAAGGAACTGGGTTCCTCAAGAAACCTAGCACCAGGTTAGGTTCCGCCACCCAACACTGGGTTGGGTTCCTCGCGGAACTCGTCTGGGTTTCGCGAAGAACCAAGATGAACAAGCAAAGACCAGATCTGGGCGACGGTCGCCAGATCTGGGAATTCCAGTGTGTAGCCCGGTAGATTTGCGTGAGGGAGCAAGGAGCCGCGAGACCTGCAAGCAAGCGGGCAACACACAGAAACATGAAACAAAGAAAACAAACAGAAAACAAAAACCCAAAAAAGGCACCCGAAGGGCCTAGTCGTCGAGAGACCTCATGGGGTCATCGGAGCAGGGAACAGGCCGGCTCCATCGGGCTTGAGCAGCCGGAGAACCCGGCGGCTCAAGCAGCAAAACTCGGAAGCCCAAGGCTTTCGAGCACAAAAAAAGGGGATGCCGGAGAAAACGATCAGAAGCCGAAGAACCCAGATCTGGAGAGGAAGAAGAAGAGGGGAAGAGAGGAGATAGAGAAAGAATAAGAAAAGTTAAAAAAAGTCATGTGGGCCCCATTAAAAGGGAAAGTTAAAAAGGTGATAATATGATGTGTAAAAAAATATACCACGTGTAAAAAAAAAAATGCCATGGTAACAAAATTTTCATAGTTGGATTTACACATCATTAAAAATGAAAAAAGCCAGTAATTTTGTGGCATTTTAACGAGCCACCTGGCGTTTAACTGACGGAAGGACCATTTTGGTACCAAAAATGAAAGTTCGAGGATAATTTTGGTACTTTTTAAAGCTGAGGGACAATTTTGGTACCAAAGTGATAAGTTGAGGGACTAAAATGGTACTTAAACCAAATATTAAATACAGTACTTATATTTTTGTTTTTTTGCAACATTTTGTTTTTAAAATTTAAATTCTATGTTAAATGTAATAATTAATTAAGATAATAATTTTAATTTACATTGATCAAGATTCTAATTTTAATTTAGGTTAAACCCCTATTTTGGTCCCTGAACTATTATACGGACCCCCGATTTGGTCCCTGAACTAAAGAAATTCCTAATTTGGTCCTTGAACTATTGTGCGGATCCCTGAGTTGGTCCTTAAACTATTGTACGAACCCCCAAGTTAGTCCCTAAACTATTATACGGATCCCCAATTTGGTCCTTACTGTTTACCAATTTAGCCCCAACTTAGTCCTTCCGTTAAATAATAGCTCAGGGACAAAATTGGGGCGAAATTGTAAGCAGTAAGGACCAAATTGGGGGTCCGTACAATAGTTCAAGGACCAACTTATGCCAAATTATAAACAGTGGGGACCAAAATGGGGGTCCGTACAATAGTTTAGGGACCAAATCAGGGATTTCTTTAGTTCAAGGACCAAATCAGGGGTCCGTACAATAGTTCAGGGACCAAAATGGAGATTCTAATTTAAATTTACAATAATCAATATTATAATTTAAATTTTATTATTTTTTAAAAAACTTAATACCATTATTAAATTACATATTTTTTCACTAATTTGTATAGAAAAATAAAAAATT